CACCCCAAACTTGTGCCCCACACTCCCACCCCCAGGTCCATGGAAAAATTGTTTGCCATAAAACTGGTAGCTGGTACCAAAAAGGTAGGGGACTGCTGCTGTAAGCTACATAGAAAATGGTGCTAACAATATATTATTTACATTCAACTACAATTATCATTGCTTTTTTTTGCTTAAACCTCTTTACTGAGGTATGACTGACATACAAAAAGCTGCACATATGGATTGGCATAGAACTTGATGAGTTTGGAGATAAGTATACAAGGTCTCTCCAGAAGGTATCCAGCCATCTAATATGAAAAATAGAAATATTTACTGAAGAAGATAGAAGACACAAGAAACATTGTACATAGGACAATGATGCCTCAGTCCCCTTCGAAGTAGGCACCTTGGGACCTCACACAGTTCTTCCAAACACCATCAGCTACCTTGTCTTTTCCTGAATCTCACTGATAGTCAGAAATCTCTTCCCTTTCAAAGGTGATTTTAGTTTTGTGAAAGCCAGAAGTTGCAGGGCACCGAATTTAGGCTGTAGGGAGGCTGAGTCACCTGGATGATTTGATGTTTCACCAAAAAATTCTGCAAAAGACGTGATGCATGAGAGGGCGCATTATTGTGATGAAGCTGCCAATCACCAGTTGCCCATAGCTGTGGCCTTCTGAATCATCCCAATAGTTTCTGCAGAGGAATGTTCAAGCTTAACACAAAATTTTATGTGGATTCATTGCTCTACTCACTCAGTCATTTTGAATGCGAATGTCACACAGTACACATGCTCACTCAATGGCATCTACCATCCCCACTGACTAGTACAGTGAAGTGGTCATTGTTCATGCATGTGCATTCCAGTCCACTCTCCTTAGCTGCCAGGCTGCATCAATGTCCTGAAAACTGTTCTCGTTATATCAACAATGGTTGGACTTTTTCCGGACAGACCTCATATACCCGTGAAACCATCACTAATCTATGCCATAAACATATCCATCAGCTCCAAAGGTTTCCTACAGCTTACTTTATTATTTTTTGGATGTGATATGGACACGTAAGATCTACACTCTTAGCAAAATTTAAGTATACAACAGAGTATTGTTAACTTTAGGCACTGTGCTGTCCTGCAGACTCTAAGACTGTTCATCTTGTTAACTGAAACTTTGTACCTTTTGGCCAGTAACTTTCATTTCCCTCCCACAGCCCCTGGCAACCACCATTCCACTTACTGCTTCTATGAGTCTCACTAGATTCCTCATATAAGTGATATCATGGAACATTTTTCCTTCTATGCTTATGCTTATTTCGCTTAGCATAACATCCTCCAGGTTCATTCATGTCGTTACAAATGGCAGGATTTCCTTCTGTTTTTAGTGCTGAATAATAGTCCTATACATAAATTATTGATGCTTTTAATATAAATTCAATGAAAGCATTAGGTGAATTCCTTTTACAATAATATTTTTAAAATTAGCTTGGGGGAAAAAAAGAAAAGCCAGGAGAAAAGTTGCCTACCAAAACAGATTGTGAGAGATAAGAGTCAACAAGCATTTACTAACTGCCTACTATGTGCCAGACTGGGGTTGGATGGGGTAGGGGAGTATAAGAGTGAATCATACACAGTCTCTATTCTCAAGTACTTTATTCTGGAAGATGATACATGTGCATCCACAGACAATCACAGGTCATTATCCCTAGATCCTAAAGAAGCAAAGCAAAGGACAGTCAAGTTTGACCATCAAAGGTCAGTTGAAGCAGATATGGGAGCTTGGCTTCATACAGAGTGACAGTGGGACAGTATCAAGATGGCCTGCAGTTTTATACAGGCTAAAGTGAACTTAGGGGACACATTGGTTGGGGATGCCCCATTCTTGAGGGGTTCCCCTGGTAAGCATAAGGGGGAATCCCCCTGAAATGGTGGAACCCCAACACTAAATAGAAGGGTTAGAGGGGAGAACAGATCCCTGATTGCTAGTAGAAGACTGGAAGGGGTGGGGGAATTCTTAAAAACTCCACTTACAGAATAGGAGATCCCCTTCTGTTACTCAAAGTTTCCTCAAACAGTGTATTCTGAGACATCTGTGGTTACTATCCTCCTGAACTTTGTTTCTGATTCTATTTTCCTTCAGGGTTTAGAGGAAGACAACTGAATATATAAGTATATATATAAACATAGAATAATAAAAGTATAAATACATATACACATGTACATATACCACACAATGGCTGTTAGGAGCTCAGTGGTCCCAGAATTCATGTTATTTATTTGTACCACTGGAAACTAATTGTTCATTCATAATTAATCCATATTTAAACATAATTTCAGGCAAGAGACAATGTAAGGCAAGATATATGTGTGAGAAAAATTCAGTCCTTACACAATACCATTAGGGATTCCAACATTTTTGGTGGTTCCAGTGCTACCAGAAAACAAAATAATACTAGCATAAACTTATGTAGTATCTATTATGTACTAGGCATACAAGATGAAAAGAAGAAAAGATATGAATTTAACCATTCTGGAATGAAAATAACCTTTGAAGTTGATGAAAATTCTTAAGTCCATTTTCATTTCCCATCACCTTAATCCTAGATAAGCAATTAACTTCAGTAACTCTTCTGTCTTTTTATGGAGAAGGCAGGGGTGGTTAAAATATAATAAACAATGCATTTACTTGCAAAGTGCATGGAATTTTAACAATGCATTAAGGACAGAGCACAGTATTATGGCATTCTTCAAAATGTTCCATGGAAGCACATATTAAATACAGCCACACAGACAGAATCCTCTCATCTCTCCAAGGTACAAATTAGTTAGATCAACATCAGACATTCTACTGCCCTAAACTTCCCAAATACTAAAACAAAGTAGAACAATTTTTAAAAAACCCATAAACTGTAACAATCTGAAGACTTGTAATGGAATTTCAGACTGATGATCACTGGTGGTCAGGTGACAATATAATCATTACTGGGGGAAAAAACCCAAAGCCAAACTTTTTGTGGCAGGTTAGTAGCATCATTCTTTACATTAAAATTACACTTCATCTATTATATAGATACTAAAATTAGAGTGAATTATGTGCAAGTTGCTTTGAGTAAATCTATGCAATCTATAGTAGAGTCTGACTCTGCCTACATGTGTATAGTTCATTCAAAAATATTCAGATAAATGGTATTTTATAATACAATGTTCAAGAAAATCTGTTTTTAAAGTTAATCTTGAAAAACATACCATATTTTATATTCCACATTATATATTCAAAGCTTTAAATACTTTTATTTTTAATGTAGAAATTTCTTAAGAGAACAGAATCATAAAACAAAGGGCCTAAAAAATGTAATACAAGCTCTTTATAGAACATGTATAACTTTCTATTTATAGATTAAACCTCTATAAATATCCTTTGCCCACTCAATAATTATCATGAATATATTTTGTTAGTTTGTGATTAAACTGTTCATATTTTAGCAGTAAAAAGCCCCTCTATAGTTTGAGAACATTTTTACCTGAAGTAGGTTTGAATAAACGTACTTTGAGATTTCACATATAAAAAGAGTAAAATGAGTCTAAACATTTTAGAATTTGCTAAATTTAGCATATTAAACATTTAAAAATCAGTATGAGGGCTCTAAGAAAAACTTTTTCTAAAAAAATTGGACTAAAATTATAAGTTTCATTTCTAGCTCAATCTGTTTTTCTAATAATTCTAAATTCCATTTGCAACGTCAAGTTAAAATGTTAAGTCTTAGAAACAGATTCTTGTGTTTGAACAATGATCAGAGTCCCACACGACGTCGGTGTGAGCAGACTCCTCCCCGCTTCTGGGGAAAACCCTGCCTAATATTTATAACGTTATGACAGTGTAATACTCACAAGGTGGTTGTAGAAGTATAAACACCACTGCACTTATCTGATTGGCTGCTGGTGATGTAACAGCCCTGTCAATACTTCCCAGCGAACGCACGTGTTCGACCTTTTATTTAAATTTCCATTTCATCACAGCAGTAAGACACTCCCGGAGGTGCATTTTCAGTGAAACGATTGTCGCCCGGGGCCCAAGGTGCTGCCTGGCACACACGAGGCGTCGCAGCGGGAGGTGTCCGTAGTTGGAGTCTCCTCGCGCAAAAGGCACCGCCCGGGCCAGCCTTTGTCAAGGAGCAAAATAAAATAAGTTCACTTCCTCGGGCGCCGCCACCCGCCCCCAGCTAATGACACCACCGGAGCGCCGCTCCCACCGCTCCCACAGTCATTTTCCAAGTCCCAGGTGAACGCGTGGCAAAAGAAGGAATATGAGCGTCCCGGGCGCCGGTAGGTGCGTGCGGGCTGAGGGGAGGCGGCCAGCCCCTGACACTCGCCAGCTGTCTGTCCCCGCGGAGCCCAGCCCCGGCTGCACACGCTCGCCCCTCCCGAGACCCCGGCCCACCGGGGCTCTGCGTCCTCCTCCCCTGGCCCCCAGCCCCCGGCCAGCCTTTCCCGCCGCCGCCTCCCCCGCCCCCTGCCCGGGTCTCCGGCGCCCCCACCCCAGCGGCCCGGCCCCAAGCCCAGCCCCCTCCCCGCCCGGCCCCCACCCTTTCCCCCTCCAGCGGTGGCTGCTACCCCGGTGCATTGTGGGCGCACGGTCCGTTGTTCATTTGCCATTCGACCTCCGCCGGGGCCTGGTCGGACGGAAACGCTCCGCCGGCTTCATTGTCGGGCGTTATGTGGCGGAGCCCCGTGCTCTAACGAGGCTCGCGCCCTCAGCGCCTCGGAACCGGAGGCGGCGGACCCCGCGGGCGGCGCGCCGGGTAGGCTCTCGGCTCGGAGGGTCGGCGCGGCGTCCGGAGGGGCGGCGAGGGGCGCCCCTACTCCGCCCCAACTTCCAAGGCCGCACGCGCCCGCCGGCTCCTCGCCTCCCCGCCGCCCACTTCTCCGCGCGGGACGCGGCCCGGAGCGCGGCGGGGCGGGGACGGAGGACGCGGAGGCGGCCGGAGGCAGCGGCCCCGCGGCTGCGGACGCGTGAGGCGGCCCCCGGACGGAGCCCGGGCCGGGCGGGAGGGCGAGGTCGGGCTCCGCGAGACCGGAACGCGGGGAGCGCGCGGGACGCAGCCCGAGGCAGGAGCTAGCCGGGCACCGGGAGGAGGAGGCGGCGGCGGCGCGCGCCATGTCTTTCAGCGAGATGAACCGCAGGACACTGGCGTTCCGAGGAGGCGGGCTGCTCACCGGCGGCGGTGGCTCAGCGAACAATAACGCCAGCGGGGAGGCCTCAGCTTGGCCCCAACAGCCCCCACCGCGACAGCTCCCGCTGTCCGCGCCGCAGCACCTCAACGGGCGAGGGGCAGACGAGGAAGTGGAATTGGAGGGCCCGGAGCCCCAGGACCCGGAGGCCTCCGCCGGCGGGGCCGCCGAGGAAGCACAGGAGCCTCCGCTGCCCCCGGACGCGGGCGGCCCCAGCTCCTTGGGCGGCGGTGCTGGGGGCCCTCTGCTAGCGGAGAGGAACCGTCGGACTCTAGCCTTCCGCGGCGGCGGCGGGGGTCTTGGCAACAATGGCAGTAGTCGCGGCCGGCCCGACCCCCCGGCGTGGCCCCCGCGACATTTCAATGGGCGAGGGCCAGCGGCAGTGGAATTGGAACTGGACGCGCTGGAGGGGAAGGACCTGATGCCGGACGGCGCGTCCCTGAGCGACAGCACCGAGGACGACGAGGAGGGGGCGAGCTTGGGCGACGGCAGCGGTGCGGAAGGCGGCTGCAGCGGTAGACGGTCGGGCGGCGATGGCGGGGACGAAGCGGAGGGAGGCGGCGTGGGGGCCGGTGACGGAGAGACTGTCCAGCACTTCCCGCTAGCGCGGCCCAAGTCCTTGATGCAGAAGCTCCAGTGCTCCTTCCAGACCGCCTGGCTCAAAGATTTCCCTTGGCTGCGGTACTGCAAGGATACCGGCCTGATGTCTTGCGGCTGGTGCCAGAAGACCCCTGAGGACGGCGGCGGCAGCGGCGACCTTCCGCCCGTGGGGCACGATGAGCTGTCGCGAGGGACCCGCAATTACAAGAAGACCCTCCTCCTGAGGCATCACGTCTCTACCGAGCACAAACTCCACGAAGCCAACGCCCAGGTACAGTATATCCTGCCCCTACTTTCTCAGATCCTTTACGGAAAGGTTTACCAGCTTAAAAAGCCGCTTTCCTTGGGGAAGCATCGTTGCAGTCGGGAGAGGTGTCGTCCACAACTTCTGCGTGGGAGGTTAGAAAGCCTGGGAACAAGTTTTCAGAAGTTGTGTATTGGGAGCGAGAGAGAATGACAACCGTAGCGCTGAGTTTGTTTTACTTTTTTATGATTCATATTTCTTTGCCTATCAGGTTGAATCAAAAACAAAACTTAGTAAAACAAGGTTGAAGGTTTTAACCCAAAAGGTTGACTTTGCGGAAAATGGGATTGCCTGTGATTTTTGAAAAGCTCCTTGGGTTCATATGCTGGTGGAAGTCAAATCTGGCAACTTTTTGAAGAATGAATTAAACAATTTCCTTAACATTTGACGCTTACCTTTTTTAGGGAAATATCCAGCCGAAAAAATTCTTTATATCAGGTTAGAATAATTTGAAATATGACAGTAGTATATAAATGTAGTGGAAGCTATTTGCTTACCACTCCTTTTTCTTGTGAATAATTTTACTAAATTTATTGCCATCGAACTTCTTATTGAACTTTGCTTTTGGTAAATTGTTGTAGTTTTTACCTGTTTCCTTCTACCCAGATTTCTGTGTTGAGATTTTTGTATAATTACCCTCTTTTCAAAAGGTAATTAGAACTGGTAGAGAACATGTTTACCAAAGTTGTTAAAAACAAGTTCTTAGTTACAAAACAAGTAAGCTGCACTTCATTCTTTTTTGTTTTAATATTTTCTTTCTGGAGATAGTCTTTATCATTTTGATAGTCCCCTTTCAAGCCAAGCAGATGTTGATGAGTTCTCCTTTAAGACTTTGAGACAACCTTTGGTAGTTGATGGAATTCATTCTTTTGTATTGGTAGCCAATCATTGGTTTAGAAAGTTGACTTGCAGGTATTAGTCCCTCTGTTGGCATGATATTGTTGTTCAAAACACATACTGGAGTTAATTAGGCAGTGTTTAATAACCCAGTAGTCCAGAAGCTTCTCAGAAGTTTAAGGCTTGAACCTCAAAGCATAGGTTTATTTTTCCCAGTGGACAATGGAAATAATTTTTGCCCAAATTTTAGCTGCCAAAGCCCTAGAAGTAAGGTTACTTAAAGATAAAAGGCCCAGAAAAGTTAAATAAATTATCCTGAGTCTTAGAGCCATTGGTGATAACTGAGACTATAGACTGTAAGGAGTGGGAAAAGAATGGGTTTTGGAGTAAATCTGGGCTCAGATCTCAGCTTTCTGCAATTACTAGCTTTGTGAGCTTGGGCAGTGGAGTGAAGTGGAACTGACATTTCCTTGTCTTCCATATGCAAACACCCATTTACCTTAACTCTATAAAATAGTTACTTTGTTCTCATTTTATAGAAGAAGAGGAACCCTTTAAAGGGTTAAGTAATGTATTTCTGAAGTTAATAAAATGATGTAGGTGGTGGACTTGTGAAAATGAAAAGTGAACCTTTCTAAATAATGGTAGGTTGGTTACTTTGGAAAATCTAAAAAGACATTTAGAATGAATTTTTGTAATATACAATGGACCAGTTATTCCTCTTATCAGCATAGTCTCTCCTTGTAGGTAAAGCTTAATGGGAATGAAAATTGGAAACTGAGATTAGAGGAAGGGGAATTAGTTGGATCACCTTATGACAGAATTGGTATGGTGCATGTATCCATCCCCCAGGCATATATATGTTTCAGGGATTTCGTTTCTAGGTAAAACCATTATTAAACTCAATCTCTGAATTATCCCTTCCTTCCCATCCCCTTTGCTCCCTTGAAGCTCCCTTGTTATAGGCCTTATGTGCAGCCCATTTTTCTCTTGGGACATTCTTTCATTAGACTGAGGGGTACAGCTTAGTTTGTCTGAGGCTATATATTGATTCTCTCCGTTGGATTTTGGATGTTTCCACTCTGAATTGATCCTAATCATTTCTCTATTTTAATTCTAGCTGACTTTTTTGGGGGGTGTTACTTTGCTATTTTGTGTGCCTTGCAGGTACCACCTGCATTTCTCTTTGTTAACATGAGTGATGGTTTCGAGAATTGACATATTTCTGTGGGCAGGAGTTAATTTTTTTTTTTTTATTGTTCTGCAGTCTCTGATATCTGTAGGAGGCAGTATAACCCAGTCTGTAAGAGCATTTTTGGGTTTAAGGTGAGGGGGACTGGGATCCTAATCCTCTTTCTTGGCAGGCAAAACTTCTCATTTCCTCACATATGCAAAGTATATATGTCAACACATAATCACTTAGTAAATGATAACTATTTATTTTTTTATCATTCTTATTTTACTTGTAGGTAAGTATAACAAGATGCTTTTTCTTGTGGCCTGGTATTTCCTGTGTCAGTGTTACCAATCTGATCAGTTTTGAAGCCACTTTATCTCATGGAATCACTGATTTTAGAGAGCAAACCAGCTTCCTTTTTCATACCTTCAGAGACTTTGGTCAGCCAGTTCTTTGAACATTTTGGGACTTTATCATCATACATGCATTTTTTTCTCAGCTTCATAAAAAATACCTTGCATTAACTTTCTCTTGTCTTAAAAATATTGAGAGTTGTGGAGTTTTTAGGCAAGAATTCAGTTTGAGCCTGGGGTGGTTCACTCCTTTTATTACACACACACACTAAGTTTTAAGGAGGCCTATTTTTTGAGACAAGTTCGGCCAAATCTTAGTATGTCACTAAGGCTAAGGGTTACTTTTCTTTCTTATTTTGCTGTAAGAAAAGTTCTTCTTCATTAATATCATGGTAGTGACCAAATCATTTTAGTATCCTCTTAAAAAGTTTGATATTCTTTTGATAATTGGATGTAGGTTGTTAAGGACTCATGGAAGAGTCTGCAAATGAGCTTTCAGAATCTGTTTTGAGCCTTCTGTTTCAAAAAGATCCCTGTGTTCTTCATAAGGATGTGTGAGTTAGGATGTAAGGCAGGAGTTCCCAACCTCAGGGCCTCCACGTTAGAAACCCGACTGCACAGCAGGAGGTGAGCTTGAATGTAATGTCCTGAAACCATCACTGCCACCCCCTGCCCCGCCCGTGGAAAAATTGTCTTCCATGAAACTAGTCCCTGGTACCAAAAAGGTTGGGGACCCCGATGCAAGGTACAACACATAGTTTTTATTTTGAATAACACCTGTAACTTCATAGAAAGTTAAAAAATTAGCTCATACAGAATTGACCATTTGGCTTAGAGGACTTTAAAATTGCTTTAATAACAGCATTTATCACTGTATCTTGGTTCAGGTCACTTTCTACCCACTTATGAAATTTTCATAGCCTAAATCACACATTCCGTCAACTTCTCAGTTTACTAACCCTGAAACATGTACTCAGGTATATTATTGTTATAAATTTATTTAACTTTTCCGAAAGTAAATACTGAAATCAGATTAGTGGTCTGATTCAAATTACTAATTAAAATATGTTGAGACCAGCAATTAACGCAAAGGTGAAACAAATCTGCCAGTCTTCTTGGATTTGGCAAAAATATGTCTCATCATTTTGTAGAATAATATTTATATGAGTTCTGATATTTATTGTGCTTGATTATGTGACCATTTATTAAAAGGAAATAATTCTGAGTAGGGAAGTAAATACTAATTACTTGTTGATTTTTAGCTAAATAATACATTCTTATTTATAGATTGACTACAGATGCGCTCACTGTTTGCAACTGAAGTTATCTCTGCCACTCTTCTCAGAAGGGTGTTGTAGATTTCTCTCAAAACTGATGGCAGTATCTATATGTCCAAGCTAGAATGCTGAAGACCCTGTAATTCTTTTTTCTCCCCAGCTCCCCAGACTCTGTCTTACCACCTCTCCCTCTATTAAAATAATCCATCTTCTCTAGTTAAGGTCCTTGCTTGCCACAAGTATGTTCCACTAATAACAGTAGTTTCCCCTGGTCAGATTATCTCATTTTAGTCCCCCAATATTAATCCTCCACAGTCATCTGCTAATCCATTCAGATCACTCTGCTTCTAAATCTCTGTAAGGCACCTATAGCAGTGTTCTTAATCTTGTTGGGGATTCCAGTCTCCTTTGATAATCTGATGAAAACTATAGACACCTCAAAGTGTTCATAAGTGCACATTTGCATTCCTTGGATTTTTGGATCACCTTGAAGTTCTTTCATAAATCTGGAATTGTGAAGATACTGTAGGCCATCTTTTTTTTTCTCAGTCTATCTCATTCACTTAGAATGTGTATCCTTCCATCTTACTCTTGCATCCTTTAAGGCTCTGCTGAAATGTTTCCTCCAAAAAGCATCTCCCCAGCATCTGAAAAAACTGGATTAGATACGTCTCCTGTCTGCTCTCATAACACTCTAGTCATATTCTTCAGTACCTTAAGAGTCTTGCCCACTAGTGATAACTTTTTTGTCTTTGGTACTAAGAACTTTCTTGGTCCAACAAATCATTTTGGCCATTTATTTTAGCTCTATTTCACCCAAATCCTCAAGTAATACTGTCCTTGGAAATTACACACACTCTTAATAAAGCCTTCATTGCAAAGGGCATAATTAATCGTTGCTTCCAAAACTTAGCTCAGTGCTCTAATCAGCAGCACGGAGAAATGCTAGTGCTGCTTGTAGAAGTAGGGAACATCACTGTTCTTATATAATAGTAATGAGAAAAACTAGTAGTTGAATCATTGTGCTTGATTTGTATAGTTTGTGTTAAAATAGAATGGGCAAATGTTTTGGTTAATAAATTTTTTCCTTAGTTATTTTTTAAAATTTGGTCTGATAATGGCAGAGAGTTTCAGAACTTGGTACTACCCCAGGAAATTCAGAACACTGACCATAGCCTAAAATGACTGCTACTGTTAGACATAGCCACCTCCTTAAAGTATCAAACTGCTTAATGTGTGAACTTGAAGTAGTTCTTATAAATGCTAATTCATTGCTTTTGTAGACATTTCATCATGTGCTGCCAAAGTTTATTTTAATTTTAAATAATTCTTAATTCGCATCCTTATTTTATATTTCAAAAGAATAGTATGGAACATGCTATTCTGTAAATGAAATCCTGCTGATCCTGATTCAGATGTTTTTCTCTTCTAATAGCAATGACACACCAAGCTATTCACTCTTTTCTCTCAGCATTTGGATTGTGAACACTTCATAATGATTACTAACATTAGTATACAGTTGGCCCTCTGTTACCTACAGGTTCTGCATCCACCAGTTCAACCAACTGTGGATCAAAAATGTTCAAGAAAAATTACATTGTTGCCAACACACACTAGGTGGTTAGACCTACTATGGTTGTGTCTGTTCGAAAGATACATGGACTATTTTTCTTTGTCATTCCCTAAACAACACAGTGTAGCACCTGTTTATTTACACAGCATTTATTACATTGAATTGGGCATTATAAGTGATGTAGAGATGACTTAAAGTACACAGAAGGATGTGTGTAAGTTGTATGCAAGTACTACCCATTTTACACGAGGGAATTGAGCATCTGTGGATTTTGGTATTGGTGGGTGTCCTGGAACCCAAACCCCTGTGGATACTGAGGGATGATTGTGTTTGATTAGTGTTTTTAAAAAAGTTACATAGGTGATGATAGTACATTTTTTCTTGATTTGGAGGCTTTAAGAAGTAAATAAAATTTAATATTAATATTTTCCATCACTTACAGGAATCAGAAATACCTTCAGAGGAGGGATACTGTGACTTTAATAGTAGGCCAAATGAGAACTCCTATTGCTATCAGCTTCTTCGACAACTGAATGAACAGAGAAAGAAAGGTATTCTTTGTGATGTCAGCATTGTGGTGAGCGGAAAAATCTTTAAAGCTCATAAGAACATCCTGGTTGCAGGCAGCCGTTTCTTTAAGACTTTATATTGCTTTTCAAACAAAGAAAGCCCTAACCAAAACAATACTACCCATTTAGATATTGCTGCAGTTCAAGGTTTTTCAGTCATCTTGGACTTCTTGTACTCTGGTAACCTGGTGCTCACAAGCCAAAATGCCATTGAAGTAATGACCGTGGCCAGCTATCTTCAAATGAGCGAAGTTGTTCAAACTTGCCGAAATTTCATTAAAGATGCCTTAAATATAAGCATTAAGTCAGAAGCCCCAGAGTCTGTAGTTGTGGACTATAATAATAGAAAACCAGTTAATAGAGATGGTCTGTCTTCATCACGGGATCAAAAAATAGCCAGTTTTTGGGCAACACGGAATCTTACCAATTTGGCAAGTAATGTGAAAATTGAAAATGATAGTTGTAATGTCGACGAGGGCCAAATAGAAAACTACCAAATGAATGACAGTAGTTGGGTCCAGGATGGTTCACCTGAATTGGCTGAAAATGAAGCCCAAGGTCAAACAAAAGTGTTCATTTGGAATAATGTGGGCTCCCAGGGAATTCAAGAAACTGGCAAAACAAGAAGGAAAAACCAAACTACAAAGAGATTTATTTATAATATTCCACCTAATAATGAAACAAATGTAGAAGATTGCTCAGTGATGCAGCCATCTGTTGCCTATCCAGAAGAAGATTTGTCATTCATTAAGGAAGAACCAGGTAAATACTGTACCTACAAAGGTATTTCAGTTTCAGTTTAATTCTGGTTGGATATAATGTTGAAGTATATGTTTTAAGGTTTCTTTTTTTAATTATAAAAGTAATACACCTATGTAATATTAAATTTGAAAAAAAACAGAAGGGAAATTACTGAAGCACAAAATTTTGGTATCTTGGGTTTTTTTCTTTAGGCATGTACATGTGGGTTTCTCAAAGGTTGTATTAACAATCAGGCATTTGCCTATATTGTGGTATGGCATGTGAATTCCACTTAATGTATAATTCTTTGACTTTCCTGATCTTTGGACTCTGCTCACTTTTTTTTTTACTAGTTTTTTTTTTGTATTTATACTTAACTTTTGGGCCATAAGCTTTTGTTTCTTCAGTTTTTTTCTGGATACCTTTTTCTTCTGTACAACTTCCTCTTCTGGTTTATAGAGCAATTTGCTCTTTTCAGTACGGATCATCTTGTGGCAGGGAGAGCTCCTGGGTAGGTTAATCTGCTCATGAGTTCTGGAAGTTCTACAGGGCATCCTGGGAGTTCTGTTCACTTGGATGTACTTGATGACTGGAGAATCTACATCTAAACTTTTACATTCAGCATTTTTAAGCTTGTGCAGCAAAAAAATTCAACACTCTTTTTGGGCCACCTACCCTATGTCCAGCCCCACTGTTTGGCCTGGGCACATCTACCAGCTCCACCATTGCGATGATAGGATGGCACATATTGTTTCTGTAAAGTGATATCCTTCAGATGCTTGGTAGTTTTTTGAATATCCATACCCATGATGCCCCAGGGAATTTCACAAATGTTCTTAAAGTGAATACAATATTTGAACTTCTTGATTTACATGATTTTGTGGGGTTTTCTGGATCAGGTGAAGAGCAAACCATTTTCAGAGGTGGTCTCTGGCCGCTTTCGGGAAGAGATCTGTGCTCACAGTTTTTTGCACTCAGTGCTGGGAAAGATAAACTCTTTAGTTGTAAAATGTTGTTTGTCATTTCAGAAATTTTTGAGACCTAGTCTACATCCTTTACTCTTCCATTTTTTTGATAAATTAAACATTTATAAGTGTTTATAGAATTTTGCAAATGGTATTGGGATTCTAATTTGTTTAGAGCTACTGTTCTCACAATGAATTTTACAGAAGCTGAATATTTTAAGCTTGTCTCATTTCACCTCATTTTTATTAGTTAAGAGAGGCCTCTGAGACCTATTAATATATCCCCAAAGGAGTACATACAAGAATCTTAGCATATCACATTTGTTGTGTGGGTTTTTTTTTAAAAAATGGGGTGAGGGGGCATTGTTGTAGAGTGTAAATACATTGAAACTTTAATGTAATTTAATTGCCTGTGTGTAAGTTACTTTTATTGGAAGAAGCAGCCAAGTTCTCTGTGCAGACCCCAGACTTGTCTACTACTAGAATATATGCTTTAATGCTTGCTTTGTCCTAAAGCACTGTATCTGTTCAGTGTTAAAAAGAATTACTGTTTTTATTTCCTTTCCCTTTGGGAAAAGGGCAAAACGTCCTAGTAATCCTATGAAATGGCTCTTCTGGCTTTTTAGGCTTGGGTTTGGTTTGCATCAGTAGAAATTTTACTTATTTGAAAATCAAAATACATGTGTAGTAAAACACTTGTTCTCTTTTCCATCATACTTATCAAGAAATAAAAACCTCAGAGGCAGTTTGTTTAAAGTAGCAGCACTTTATTTTGGCTTAATTTTTCATATAGAAGACCTTGAAACAATTCCCAAAATGCAGTTATGTTTTTTTCTGTGGCATGGATTGTTTAATAGCATGATGGGAACCTTAGCGTTTTTTAAAATACATGCATGTACACTCACAGTTTAAGGAATAAGCAGATTTTCTGGGTGGTAGCTGAATGGTAAAACTAGTCAGAGCTATCCCTATTCTTAAAATTAATCTCACATTTAATTGGAGTGATCCAAGAAAAGGAAAGCACTAATATTGACCCACAATGCATACCTCAAACAAAAAAAATCACCAGCAATTATCTTAGCAGGCATCTCTAGCTAAGGTTGTATTAATTTTTGGTAGTCAAATATGCTTTTGATTTCTTCAGTCTGTCTTGTAAAAGGTAATTCTGTTATGTTGTTGGTATCGCTTTGATATCTGAACATTGCTTATCTCACAAATTTTTATCAGCGATGTGTGCTACATTCCAGCTGTTTTTTGTTTTTGTTTTTGTTTTTTTAACAACTTTGTAGTGCCTCTAAATCCAACTTCATTTATTGGTAGAAAATGGGTCTTATAAGAGTACTATAGTTAGGCCATAATTGATATACAGCCAGGTGTTGGCAAATTTTTACTGTAAAGAGCCAAACAGTAGAAAATATTTTTGGCTTCGGTCGAAGTTCAGTTACTTAACTCTGCCATTGTAGCATGAAAGCATTTGTATACAGTGTGTAAACAAATGAAAATGGATGTGTTCCAGTAAACCTTTATTGCTAACCCTTCGTATAGAGCAGTGGATGTTAACCATGCCTGTATGTTGGCATCACTTGGAACTTTCTTGGGTCTCTCCCAGGTTGTCCATTTAATTGGTCTGGGATGTGGTCTGGATGGTGGGATATTTATAAGCTGTACAAGTTACTAACACTGTGAGCCAAGGTTGAGATCCACTAATAGAAATAAAAGAGTCCAAATAGATTCAGGATTTGAAAAGGCACTCTTCTACTTACCCACTATGTGGCCATGATCAAATTAAGTTAATTCTTGCCCTCAGTTTTCTCATTTTTAATATATGGTACCTAATAAGATTATTAGGAAAATTAAATGACAAACATAAAAGCACAACTATCATGGTCATTTTAATCTACCTTAAAGTTGGGAGACTGTTGAGGTTATTTAAAATCAGTTTTCCAGTACAGTGTACTTTCCACTAAATTCTAGATAAAGTGGTCATATTAGCTTCAGCTTGACCTTGTGTTTGAAAACTAAAAAGGATTCTTTTTAAAGCAGCTATTCCAGTATAGGATGTCTATGATTATGAGGAAGTTATTTTATATTGATACAATATTTGCTTTGCTTTAACTTCCTAATTATGCCATTTGGGGTAGTGTAATCTGACCTTAACCTTTAACCTTTAATCTCTGAACTACCTGATAACCCTTCAGATATTAGGCATTTAAAAAATTGCCCTGAAGTCTCCTAGGCTAAGTGCTGTGCTCTATCTCCCACTTTGTGGATTCCTCAGTTGTAGACAAGACATGGCTTGTTTCACCTGGGAATTTTGGTGGACAAAGTTGACTGCAACTCTTACAGGGAAGTTCTGACCAGCATAGAACACAGTGGATCTTTGTTTACCAAGGTTAAAACCTTTCTCAAGGTCATTTGACTAGTAGATAATAGAGGCAGGTTTCATGGTTTGTTTGGGACTGTCTCACATTAAAATCTTGCCATTAATAAACTAGTGCATTCTGTCTTTCAAAAAATGAGTCCCTTTTAAAACTAAACATGTTTATGAATTCCACATCATTGATTATACTTTGATTTCCACTTACTGAGAAAATAGTGAAAGTTTTCAGTGAAATAAATGCTTTTAAGCAAACTTAAATTTCTATGCATAAATGTCTGGAGAGTTGTGGATTCTTCACTTTGTAAGCAGTGCTTGGCATATTTGCATATCTGGATCCCTTAGGAAATGTAACATCCCCAAATTCTTAAGCTTCCAGTTTGTAAACCACAGCTCTAAATAATGTCTTTTTGCCACATGACATTGAAGCTGCTGTTTGGATGCCTCAAAGAAATGTAAGATGTTGAGATAAGATATACCCCAAAATATGAGGGATTTTATTCAGATGGTATTTTTTTTTTTATCTTAAACTAGCATCTCTGTAATTTGACTCAGTACTTAGATTTGAATCATTTGGTGTATGAGGATACTTGAAAGTAGAACTCAGGAAAGGTTAGAAACTTCTTTCCTTTTTACTGTTTTATTGGGGTTTATAGGATAATTAAAACCAACAGGAAAAACTCAATTCTGAGTAATAAAAGAGGAAAATAAAGTGTCAGTTGCTCTGGTAATGTAAAAATTTTAAATCTTTGTTTTGCTGACTTATAACCAAAAAATAAATTTCAGGTAGATAAAGTGGATAAACATGTAAGAATTTAAATTGTAGAAATAATTTATGCCAATTTTTTTCCCAAAGTATACTCATATACTGTTATTTTTAATCAGCACAAATCAGATATGCATCCCATTTTTGGTCTTTTGATGCTTTGAGCTCATGGGACATATTTTTCTGAATCTAGATTTTCTATTTATATTAGTCACACTAGCTGGTTGTACCCATTGTAAATAACTAGTCTGCATGTATGTGTACATTTTATTTATATATGCATACAGACCTCATTTTGAACAAAGATTGTGAAATGATTGACACGAAACAAATGATCAAAATGCAAATAAAATTTAAGTTTAGTGAGCTAGTCAGAGGTGTGTTAATATGGTTGTCCTAATCAAGCTTTTAATTGGCTCTAAAATAGGCACACCTCAGAGATATTGTGGGATGGGTTTCAGAGCAACTCAAGAAAATAAATTGTAATCTTTTTGCTGGTAGAGGATCTTGCCTTTGCTTTGTAAAAAACACAATGCTGGTGAAGTGCAATAAGACTAGGCATTGTGCCTCTACTAAGCAGCTTTTCTTTTTTTAATTAATAGACTTTTTTTTAAGACTAGTTTTAGATTTACTTGCCTTCCTTCCCCTGCACCCAGTTGTGGTACATTTAATAAACCAATATTGATGAATTATTATTAATATATATTAATGTGTTGTTTATCACAGTAATGGTCACTGTGTTGTAGAGGTCTGTGGGTTTTGACAAATGCCTAAAATCATGTTTCTACTATTACAGTATCATAAAGAATGGTTTCACTGCCCTGAAAGTCTCATGTTCTACCTATTTATCTCTCCCCTGCCTCCCTATCCTCAAACTCCTGTCTGCTCCTTTGATGTCTCTATATTTTGCCTT